TGGCCTGGGGGGGGGGTTTATAGGGATTTTAATTGGGATTTTATAATTTTTCTAATAACAGGTTTATCTAATATATATTTTAATTTGGTTTTTAGATATTTATTGTATAGCTCTGTTTTTACTTACCTGTAAGCCGCCCTGAGTCCCTCGGGAGAAGGGCGGGGTATAAATTAAAGTATTATTATTATTATTATTATTATTATTATTATATTCCTTCAAAACAAAACTGAAAATTGCATCTTGAAATCCTCCTAAATCAGGGCTAGGCAACCTTGGCTCTTTTATGACTCGTGGACTTCAACTCCCAGAATTCCTGAGCCAGCATGAGGAAACTATGCCCCCCTCATGACTCATGAACTTCAACTCCCAGAATTCCTGAGCCAGCATGGGGGAACTATGGCCCCTTCATGACTCCTGGACTTCCACTCCCAGAATTCCTGAGCCAGCATGGGGGAACTATGGCCCCTTCATGACTTGCGGACTTCAACTCCCAGAATTCCTGAGCCAGCATGGCTCAGCTTGGAAACCTCTCCCTTTCCCCTCAGCATGGCTGGCTCAGGAATTCTGGGAGTTGAAGTCCACGAGTCCTAAAAGAGCCACGTTTGAAGACCCCTGACATAATATGAAGGGAAAATAATGCTAACTCAGAAAGAGCTAAACCGGTGTTTCTCAACCTCGGCTATTTTAGGAGGTGTGGACTTCAACTCCCAGAATTCCTCAGCCAGTGTGCCTGACTGAGGAATTCTGGGAGTTGAAATCCACCAGTCATAAAATGGCCACGTTTGAAGACCCCTGCTCTAATCACTCCTCTAACTATGGAGTCTTAGTTTTTTTTTAATCCCCGGGGGTTTTGAGATCATACTGAACCCAGTCCAAGGCCAGGGCTTGTAGCTCCTGGAGTAAGTGGTGTGTTAAGTTTCAAGAGTGTTACTTGCTGCTTTGCTGAGCTCAGCTGGCATTGCAGTCTCCCACTGCTAGCCCTTCATTCAAAATCTAGAATTTCCACCTTAGCTGCAGTTTCCTAGTTATGTAATGCTGCCCTCCTATGCTGATTTCAGTTAATGCTTCCACTCTCCTGTTCCGGTTTAGGACCGTCGGACAGCAGAGCAACGAAACAAGAGCTTGGAGTCTCGCCTTGCCTGGCTGTTAAATGAGATTTTGGGGGTCAATAGAATCTTCCCTGAAAATCACCTGAAGGCAGAATTCAGGGCTCAATTTTGTGGTCGTAAGCCGAGCATCACCTGCACGCAGACTTATTTCTGTAATATCAAGCCGTGTACGGAGCTGTACGCGTATAAACGTACTAAAGCTATTTACCACGATACAAAATCCGATGCAAGTAAAAGGATGATTTATCTGAGTTCCTTCTGCTTGTGTGTACATGCACTGCTTTTAGCGTTGGGCCATGCTTTGTCAATAATTTGGAAAAGTGCAAAAGTACAAATGTTAAGCACCCATATGCAGCTCTTTAAAGCAGCCGAGTCCTAACCCAGAATCACACTGCTGGCCTCTGTCGTCCAGGAAAAGGTGCGGTCGCTTTAAAGAGCTACAAACAGATGCGATTTTTTTTTTTTGCTTTTCCATGTTTCTGGAATCAAATCTATAGCTCTAATTGCTATATTGATTTTTTTTTTTTTTTGTATTCACTCTCTGCTCTCATTTAGGTCCCGAAATAACCAAAATGCTTGTTAACATGCAAACTGGATGTTAAATCTCTCTCTCTCTCTCTCTCTCTCTCTCTCTCTCTCTCTCTCTCTCTCTCTCTCTCTCTCGTTGTAACTGACATTTGTGTTTTTGCAATTTAGGGTTTGACGGGAAGGCGGGAGAAGTACACATCCATCACAAATTAAAAAAACAACACGAAACCCAAACTGAACAAAATAAGAGTTTGTTTGCTGGAGAGAACGAGTAAATAATGGAAGGTTGTTCTTCTGATTATGATTATGTTATTATGATTATTATTACTTTGTTTTGCATGTACACTGAACGCTTATGCACCGGAGACAAATCCCTTGTGTGTCTAATCACACGAGGACAATAAAGCTATTCTATTCTATTCTATTCTATTCTATTCTATTCTATTCTATTCTATTCTATTCCATTCCATCCTATATTCTATTCTATTCTATTCTATTCTATTCTATTCTATTCTATTCTATTCCATTCCATCCTATATTCTATTCTATTCTATTCTATTCTATTCTATTCTAGTCTAGTCTAGTCTAGTCTAGTCTAGTCTAGTCTAGTCTAGTCTATTCCATCCTGTTTTCTAGTCTGTTCTGTTCTGTTCTGTTCTATTCTATTCTATATTTCAATGTCTATTCTATTCTATTCTATTCTATTCTATTCTATTCTATGCTATTCCAATATTCTATTCTATTCTATTCCAATATTGTTCTATTCTATTCCAATATTGTTCTATTCTATTCTATTCTATTCTATTCTATTCCATCCTGTTTTCTATTCTGTTCTGTTCTGTTCTATTCCGTTCTATTCTATTCCATTCCATTCCATTCTATTCTATTCTGCACTCTACTCTATTCTACTCCACTCCACTCCACTCTACTCCATTGTATATTTTCTATACTATTCTACTCTATTCCACCTCCGTTGGAGTACTGAACTGAACAAGCTTGTTGGATGAGAAACGAAACATTTTCAAAGGAAAAAAAACACCAAGAAAGTCCATGTTGCCTTTTGGAAAAACAAACACCTTTTGGGGACAACCGTGACCTGGACGATGGAGGATCTCCCTAGACCTCTTTCAGAAGGAAAACCCTTGTCCTTCTTGGTCTTCCCAGACAAGAGAGAATTCAGCCTAACAGGCAGCAGCTTTGGGGCCGGGTGTGTTACGCAGGGATGCATGTTAAAAAGCCAAGCTCCGGGTAAGGCCGAAAAGTAGCAGAAACGCAAATACCTTCAGGTCTCGCCTCTCCAGGTGCAAAAGCTCAGCGCCTCGGATGTCGTGGCTGACGAAGGTGTCTTTGTACTCTCCCAAACTCAGCAGGTCCAGCCAAGCCGCTACTTCCTCCGTGCCCCATTTCTGAACTACCAAAGTTAAGAGCAAAACCCCCTTAATTTCTCGACATGCTGGGCCGCGCGACAAGCGAAGGTTAGGCCGCAGAAGGTGGAGGACAGAAGAGGAGAGGACGACGACGCAGTGATAGCAGAAGTCGGGAATGGTGGGCAGCCGCTTCGGACATGCAGGTTAAAGGGAGGGGAAAACCCGGGAATATTGAGGGCTGCCTGACTTCTAGCCATGCTCTCAGCTCCAGCATCCAGCTCTGCCGTCAAGCTTACCCCTTCAAGACCCCCATCCTTAATTTGCTCCCTTTTAAAAAGTAGCCCTCCGTGTGTCAGACACGAAACCGTGTGGCCTCCTGAAGCCAGGACGGTTACACACCCTTGACCTGCAAGTAGACGTAAGGGACGACTTTCTCTCGTGGGATAAAGACTACTTCAAGTCCTCGTGGAATAACAAGGAAGGCCAAGACAAGCTCCAATGCACATTTGGGTTCTGCACCAATCCACTCACCATTCTGTATTTTCTAAGCAACGGTATTATTTTTTTTTTAAAAAAAAAAGCCTACCGGGCTGGGTGTTGGTCTTCTGTTTTTGAACCTTTTCCTTTTTAAACTTTGGCACTATACGAAAGACGGTACTGCGGCTGTTTCTTTTACAGTACTCCAAAGGAGGATCCTAAAAAAGATAAGAAGATTATTGTTTGGTTTTTTTTGGTTCATGTCTCGCATTCGGAGGAGGTAGAGCACGTCTTTCTCCTTCTGTCCCGGCCACTTTTTAACAGAGGCACGATGGGGAGCGTCATCGCTCTCTGGTTTGGTGGCAGCAGAGCCTCAGATAGAAGGTCCACACAGAGGGTGGTGAGGACAGCCGAAAAGTTCATAGGAAGCTCTGCTTCCCGTGATTCAAGATGCTGCTGCTTACAAGCTCTTATATGTTCTTAGAGCTCGGAGCGTTCTTAGAGATCCCACACAAACCCACTTCACGGTCGGTTCCTGTTGCTCCCCTCTGGGAGGAGGTTTCGAAGTATTTATAGCAGGACTGGCAGATTCTGTAACAGCTTTGTTCCTTATGCCATCCGTCTGGTAAATTCGCAGGATTCTCTCTTTTTTTGCCATGTATATATATGTATATATATTTGAACTAGACTGTGACTGTGTCTCGGCCTCATATATGTGTGTGTATGCGGGTATATGCATAATTGTATTTTTTTTTGAGAGCTGAATGCAACGCAATTTCATTTTAATGTATGCTGATCAGTGTACATTTAAAATGACAATAAAATTTCTATTCTATTCTGCATTCTATTCTACTCTGCATTCTATTCTATTCTGCATTCTATTCTGCATTCTATTCTATTCTCTATTCTATTCTGCATTCTATACTATTCTCTATTCTATTCTGCATTCTATTCTATTCTCTATTCTATTCTGCATTCTATTCTATTCTCTATTCTATTCTGCATTCTATACTATTCTCTATTCTATTCTGCATTCTATTCTATTCTCTGTTCTATTCTGCGTTGCGTTGCGTTGCGTTGCGTTGCGTTGCGTTGCGTTGCGTTCCATTCTATTCTATTCTATTCTATTCTAATGAGGCTGCTTTTAAAATCCCATTAACTTTTCTGAGTCTTTAAAGAACTTTAAAGCAACTGTATCTTTTTTCAATCTGCCAAAGGTATGCTTGTTCACAAAAGGTTCAAATACCTCCTCCAATTCATCTTCAAAGCATCCATAACCCCCTAACAGCAATTTTTCTGCACGTATCTCAGACTTTCAAAGTAGGTCCAATCAAACAAAAAGAACAGCAAGGATTCAGGCCTGGCGTGTGTGATTTCCACCCACCTCGTCATCGTTCATCTGTAGAATATAGCAGAGCCAGGGAATTTCAGCCAACTTTCTCAGTTCAGTCTCCAAATTGTGCACCGCTGAGATCAGCAACTCCTCACAAGGAGATTCCAATTGCTACCCAAAAAAACCCCAAACATAATTTTATTAGGCTGAATTGTCTAACAAGAATCTCTGTCGCTCTATCTATCTTCTATCTACGGTATCTCTGTCTGTCTGTCTATATATCTACAGTATCTCTATGTCTGTCTATCTCTGTCTGTCTGCCTGCCTGCCTATCATCTATCTATCTGTCTGTCTGTCTGTCTGTCTATCTATCTATCTATCTATCCATCCATCTATCCATCTATCCATCTATCCATCTATCCATCCATATCTATATCCATATCATTATCGATATCTATATCTATACCTATTCTTATATTTATGTCTATATATCTATATATCTATCTATATCTATACATCTATCTATATCTACCTATATCTATCAACAATCTATTATTTATCATTATCTATCAGCCATCTCTCTCTCCCCCTCTCTATCTTCTATTTATCCATCATCTATCATTGCTCTATCTATCTGTCTGTCTCCATCTATCTGTCTATGTTTCATATCTATCTGTCTGTCTGTCTGTCTATCTATCTATCTCTATGTATCGCTATTATCTTTCTCTCTCTCTCTCTCTCTCTCTCTCTCTCTCTCTCCCTCTCCCTCCTTCCCTCTCTCCCTCTCCCTCTCCTGGAAATGTCTCTGTTTAAGGACATAAAGTCATTCTCCCAACTCCGATCTCAGTCCAGTTACAATTCCTGGAGGGATGATTAAAATCCTCAGCTCCTTTATTTTCTCCCCCACCCTTTTCTGACTTACTCTGCTTTTTTTCCCAAAAGCCCGATCTTTCTAGACCAGAGGTCCCCAACCTTTTGGGCACTAGGGACCGGTTCCGTGGAGAGAGGTTTTTCCGCGGACCAGAGACTGCATGGTTTTGTGTGCTGCCTGCATCCCGTGGATGGGGCTTTGTGTGGACCGGTTACTGGCACGTCGCAGCCCGGTACCGGTCCACGGCCCGGGGCTTGGGGACCCCTATTCTAGAAGACCTAGTGCTCAAGAAGCTGACCCAGTTCAGAAAGTCAGACCTTCTGCCTTTTGCCTGAGAAGATTCTGGAGCCTCTGAGCCTTACAGATACAGGATGAAGAGAATCCACCATGTCAGAATTGGAAAGCCAGGAAAACCAAAATAAGGGATGGTGTCTGGAAAGGGTGAAGGCAACACCAGGCTACAGATGAAGAAATTTATGCTCCAACCCTGGAGGTTTTTAAGAAGAGACTGGACAGCCATTTGTCCAAAATGGTGTAGGGTTTCCTGCCTGAGCAGGGGGTTGGACTAGAAGACCTCTAAGGTCCCTTCCAACTTTATTATTATTATTATTATTATTATTATTATTATTATTATTATTATTATTATTATTATTATTATTATTGACTTTCATCTTACCAACGAGACTTTTCCAACCAGCAAGGATTCTGTTTCGTCATGTAACGCCTTCACGGTGGCAGCGATTTCCAAGGCGGTGTTTCTAGTAAGGCTCTGCAGAGAAGAAAAAGACGTGAAGATCCCAGCGACACAAAGCTGTGCATTTAATTGTAGGTAGTCCTCGACTTTCAACTGTTCATTTAGGGACCGTTCAAAGTCACAACGGCACTGAAAAAAAGGGACTCAGGACCATTTTTCACACTTACCACCCTTGCAGCATCCCCAGGGTCACGTGATCAAAACCCAGAGGCTTGGCAACTGGCCTGTACTTATGACAGTTGCAGAGGCCCGGAGTCACGTGATCCCCTTTTGTGACCTTCTCACAAGCAAAGTCCATGGGGAAGCCAGATTCGCTTAACAATCACATTACTAACTTAACAACTGTAGCGATTCACTTAACTGTGACCAGCAAGATCGTAAACTGGGGCAAAACTCACTTAGCAATGGAATTTTTTTTTTTAATTCTTTCAAAGAAATAAAAACATCCAGCCTCAGAGACTGGTCAGATCGCGATTGTTTGGTATGAATGGGTGTACAGCTATTGATTGAATTGACAAGGATTCACTCAACAAAAGCAGAGCATTAAACATTTTACTAAGCATGGGTCAGTTCTAAGCTGACCTTAACGGAAGAACAAATAACAGAATAACAGAGTTGGAAGGGACCTTGGAGGTCTTCTAGTCCAACCCCCTGCTCAAGCAGGAGACCCTATAATTCCGGACAAACGGTTGTTCAATCTCTTCTTAAAAACTTCCAGTGTTGGAGCATTCACAATTTCTGGAGGCAGGTTGTTCCACTGATTAATTGTTCCAACTATCAGGAAATTTCTCCTTAGTTCTAGGTTGCTTCTCTCCTTGATTAGTTTCCATCTGTTGCTACTGCCTTCTGGTGCTTTGGAGAATAGCTTGACTCCCTCTTCTTTGGGGCAGTCCCTGAGATACTGGAACATTGGCTATCATATCCCCCCTCATCCTTCTCTTCATTAAACTAGACATACCCAATTCAAGCAACCGTTCCTTGTACGTTTTAGCCTCCAGTCCCTAAATCATCTTTGTTGCTCTTCTCTGCACTCTTTCCAGAGTCTCAACATCTTTTTTATATCATGATGACCTAAATTGGATGCCATATTCCAAGTATGGCCTACCCAAGGCATAATAAAGCGCTATTAGCACTTCATGTGATCTTGATTCTTATCAAGAATTCTTACCAAGAACTTATCTGAAGACACATTGTCAGAGCATGCACTGCCTTATTGCGCTGAGATAATCCAAGGGTAAACACAGTAAACAGTGGTCTATATTAAATGGTGGTTTATCTTACACGATCTACAATACCGTACACCAGGAACAAAACACATACACATGCTAATACAGCAGGATCCAACAAACCACAATCACAGCAGGAAATGGAACAGAGAGAAGCCATCAGCAGAGCCTTCCCTTTATACCAGGGGTCTTCAAACTTGGCCCTTTTATGACTTGTGGACTTCAACTCCCAGAATTCTTCAGCCAGCCTCCATTTTGCTTGTTAGATTTAAGACAGGGGTCTTCAAACTTGGCCCTTTTATGACTGACACGTGCCTGGCTGAGGAATTCTGGGAGTTGAAGTCCACCAGTCATCAAAGGGCCACGTTTGAAGGTCCCTGCTTTATACAAAGGCTCTTAAAGAGACACAGACCCTGCTGAGTCATTCTCACCATTACAGTACATCTTCCATCCCACACTATACAAGCTGGTGAGCTGCCAAATCAATACCTTGACACAGATCTTTCTTTTTTTCCTTACCTCAGGGAATTTCGGACCGGCTTTGGCTAAAGCATGAGAGCAGGCGTTCACAGCGTGAGCTAGCTCTTGTTCCAAGAGACTATGAGCTTTGGCAGCTTCACAGATCCTGTGGAAAAAAGCAAATCCGGGAAGGGTTAGGGTTAACACCGAGAAAGAGAATTTACAAAGGCCAGAAAACAGCTTGCTGGTTTATTTATTACATTTACAGCCTGCCCATCTCAGATGCACAAATCCGGGCGGCTTTAAAACAGAATTAAAAACGATAAAAAGCATCCGGGGTTAAAAACGATGACAGCCACCTTAAAAGTAGCAGTCAGAAATAGAGGCAGTCCTCGGCTTGCAACCACAATTGAGCTCCAAGTTTCTGTTGTTAAGCGAGACCTTTGTTAAATGGCGGAGCCTGGCCCCATTTTACGACCTTTCTTGCCACAGTTGTTAAGCGGATCGCTGCGGTTATTTAGCAAAGTGGTCGGGAAGCAAAACTGGGCTTCCTCCATTGTCAGAAGGTCGCAAAAGGGGATCCTGTAACCCCAGGACACTGTGACGGCCATAAATACGAGTCAGTGGCCAAGGGTGTGAAAAAGGATAATCAGTCACTTTTACCAGTGCTGTTGTTAAGTCGAGGACCACCTGTATTTTCAAAAAGAGAAGAGAAGAGGAGAGGAGAGGAGAGGAGAGGAGAGGAAAGGAAAGGAAAAGAAAAAAAAAGAAAAGAAAAGAAAAGGAAGGGAAGAGAAGAGAAGAGGGGAGGGGAGAGGAGAGGAGGGGAAGGGAAGGGAGGAGAGGAGAGGAGAGGAGAGGAGGAGAGGAGAGGAGAGGAGAGGAAAGGGAAAGGAAGAGAAGAGAAGAGAAGAGAAGAGAAGAGAAGAGAAGAGAGAGAAGAGGAGAGGAGAGGAGAGGAGAGGAAACGAAACAAAACAAAACAAAACAAAATGAGAGGAAAGGGAAAGGAAGAGAAGAGAAGAGAGGAGAAGAGAGGAGAAGAAAAGAAAAGAAAAGAAAAGAAAGGGAAGGGAAGGGAAGGGAAGGGAAAAAAGGAAAGGAAAGGAAAGGAAACAAAACAAAACAAAACAAAAGGAAATGAAACCAAGAAAGTCCAGTTGCCTTTTGGGACAACTATGACCTGGAGGATGGAGAATCCCCGTAGACAAGGCAGGAGATAATCCTGAAATATTGAACTGAAACAAAATCAGAATAAAAGCAGAGCTGGAAGGGACCTTGGAGGTCTTCTAGTCCAGCCCTCTGCTTAAGCAGGAGACCCTATACCATTTCAGGCAAATGGCTGTCCAGTCTCTTCTTAAAAGTCTCCAGTAATGAAGCACCTACAACTTCTGAAAACAAGCTCTTCCCCTGGTTAATTGTTCTCCTTGTTTGGAAGTTTCTCCTTAGTTCCAGGTTGCTTCTCTCCTTGATGAGTTTCCATCCATTGTTTCTTGTCTTGCCTTCTGGTGCTTTGGAGAAGAGCTTGACTCCCTCTTCTTTGGGGCAGCCCCTCAAATACTGGAATGCTGCTATCATGTTACCCCTAGTCGTCTTTTTTTTCTTTCCTACACTGGCCATACCCAAGTCTTGGAACCGTCCTTCCTATGTTTTAGTCGCCAGGCTTTTAATCATCTGAGTTGCTCCTCTCTGCCCTTTTTTGTATTGGGGTGACCAAAACCGGATTACAAAAAAAAAGAGGTTGAGACTTTGGGGGAAAAGAGCAAAGAAGAGCAACTGAGATGCTTAAAGGCCTGGAGACGAACTGCCTTTGGTCTCTCTAGTCTACCTGGCAATCAGCTCTTCCGCCGCCTGAGAACAAGCCTGGATCTGCACCGTCTCTTCTTCCGAAGCCAGTTCCACCGCCTGGTGCGGGTACAACGGGGACCGTAACCCGGGTTTGCAAGAATCGCACTTCTGTTTGTCTTCCCAGGATTTTAACGTGCTTTCGAAGGCCTTGGGGAAAAAAGGAATTGGGGGGAAAAAAATAATAATTTAGGCATCCCTGAAGCCACAGCCTAGCCAGGCGTTCTTAGGTCTAGTTTAATGGTGCACCTTGCAATGAAAAAGACAAAAGACTTTATTTGGGGTTCTCTCTCTCTCTGTGTCCCCCTCTTTCTTTCTTTCTTTCTTTCTTTCTTTCTTTCTTTCTTTCTTTCTTTCTTTCTTTCTTTCTTTCTTTTTTTCTCTCTCTCTCTCTCCCTCCCTCCCTCTCTCTCCCTCTCTCTCTCCCTCGCTGTCTCTCTCTCTCTCTCTCTCCCTCTCTCTCCCTCCCCTCTCTCTCTCTCTCTCTCTCTCTCTCTCTCTCTCCCTCGCTGTCTCTCTCTCTCTCTCTCTCTCTCTCTCCCTCTCTCCCTCCCCCTGAATTTTGATCACGTGACTGTGGGAGACGCTGCCACGGTCGCAAGTGTGAAAAATAGCCATAAGTCACTTTTTACAGTGCCGTTGTCACTAAATGAACTGTTGTAAGTCAAGGACTGCCTGTGCTATCTCTGCTTTTTTATTATTGTGGGCGCTGTGCCTAAGGCAGGGGTAGGCAACCTTGGCTCTTTTGTGACTGGTGGACTTCAACTCCCAGAATTCCTGAGCCAGCCATGCTGAGGGGAAAGGGAGAGGTTTCCAAGCTGAGCCATGCTGGCTCACGAATTCTGGGAGTTGAAGTCTGCAAGTCATGAGGGGGCCATAGTTCCCCCATGCTGGCTGAGGAATTCTGGGAGTTGAAGTCCACCAGTCATGAAGGGGCCATAGTTCCCCCATGCTGGCTGAGGAATTCTGGGAGTTGAAGTCTACCAGTCATGAAGGGGCCATAGTTCCCCCATGATGGCTCAGGGATTCTGGGAGTTGAAGTCCACGAGTCATGAGGGGGCCATAGTTCCCCCATGCTGGCTCAGGAATTCTGGGAGTTGAAGTCCACGAGTCAAAAAAGAGCCAAGGTTGCCTACCCCTGTCCTATACTATATATACCCTAGACCAGGGGAAGGGAACCTTGGCTCTTTTATGACGTGTGGACTTCAACTCCCAGAATTCCTGAGCCAGCATGGCTCAGCTTGGAAACCTCTCCCTTTCCCCTCAGCGTGGCTGGCTCAGGAATTCTGGGAGTTGAAGTCCACCAGTCACCAAAGAGCCAAGGTGGCCTACCCCTGGCCTAAGGAGAAGGATCCCTCCCCGTGACGTACTCGGTCGCGCGTTAGCATCTGTGCTCGATTTTTGTGCACGATTTTAATGATGCCCGGGGGCTGAATCCAAGCTTCGCCATCCACTTGCACGGGCACTCCTTCATCCCCAAGTATGGTGATCTTCACCGCCCGGCACTGAAAAAAAGAAGAGTAAACAGATTTCAGCAGAGGCTGGAATACGTTCAAGCAATTTCCAGAAAGAACGGTGGCTCCCGTCCAGATCCATCTCCAGGGCAAAAGGATGCTAGATTTTTGCAAGGTGCAGGATTTTGCAGCGCACTGGAAGTGAAAAGAGAAAGTCGATTAAATTGAAATTTCATGTGGAGGAAAGCCAGGTTTGACAGCTGGGTGGGAAAAGCCAAAGGCACAAGTGCAGATGAGACAAAACCTGGCTCACAAACGGTCACTGGGAAAGGGACCTCGGAGTCCTGGTGGACGATGACTTAAAGGTTCCACAAGGGTCGGTCCTCTCTCCACTTCTGTTCAATATTTATGTGAAGCCGCTGGGGGAGATCATCCGTGGCTTCGGGGTGGATTTCCATCAGTACGCTGATGACACTCAGCTGTACATATCCACCCCGGGCCACCCCAACGATGCCCTTGACATGATGGCCCGATGCCTGGAGGCCATGAGGGTCTGGATGGGGAGGAACAGACTCAGACTCAACCCGTCCAAGACCGAGTGGCTGTGGTTGCCGGCGCCCCGGCATAGTCAGCTGACTCCATCGCTGACTATAGGGGGCGAAACTTTGGCCCCCTCAGATCGGGTCCGCAACTTGGGTGTTCTCCTGGATTCACGGTTGACATTGGATGACCAGTTGTCGGCCGT